ATTTAGTACACAGTCTACAGGGTCTTACTACACAGCTTGGACTCATAGTGATCCTCCTGTTTTTTCAGCCTCCCAAGTCCTGGAACTACAGGCATGTACCACCAAGCCTAGTCTCAAGCATACCCAGGGGTGGGGCTGGCACAGCAGGCCACGGATCAAACCCCTGGCAAATGCATCTGCCTAAGCAGGCACTTTAGTCTGTTGAGCTATCTGACCGGACCCCTAAATAACTTCTTACATTCCCCCAAACCTGCTTCTTCCATAATCTTTCCCATCCCCGTAAAGAACTTTTTTCCATTGCTATATGTTTATCAATAAAACTTTGAAAAGAAAAAAAAAAAAAAAAAGAACTTTTTTCCATTTACATAGGTCAAGACCTTGAAATATACATAGGCCAAGACTCCTGTCACATTCTGTATCAACAAGTTCTGAGAGCTTTTGCCTTTATAATTAACTCAGAACCTCACTACTTCTTACATCTTTACTATAACTAAACTAGTCCAAGGCACTGTTGCCTTCTCCTGGATTGTTGCAAGAGCCTCCTCACTGCTTCCACCCTGTCCTGCTGCAGTCTACTTTCCACAAAGCAGAAAAAAGATGTACATAAAATGCACCAAATCATGTACCACTTTGCTTAAAACCATCTAGTTGTGTCCTATTAGTCACTGTAATAGCCAAAGATGTCACCATGGGCCTCAAGGTCCTGCATGCTTTCCCTCAGATCTCACTTCCTGTTACTCTTCCCTTGTTCATGATGTTCTGATACACTGGCCTCCTTGCTAGTCATTAAACATGTCAGGAATGTTTCTATTTTATGGTCTTTCTCTTAAGTCTCTCTGCCCAGAACATTCATTCTTTGGAGTCTCATGATCTGCTTCTTGATCTTCACAGGCCTCTCCTTAAATATCCCACCCATATTAAAGCTTTGCAGAACCATTCAACTTAAATTGTGTCACTCTTCATTCCTATCTTCTACTCTGCTTTAGTTTCTCACACCACCTGGCACAGTACAGTATCTACTGTACCAGTTTGTTTATTGTTTGTTCCCCACTACTATAATGGAAGCATCAGAAGAGAAAATAATGTTGTGTATTATATCACTACCATATCTTCTGAACAGTGCCTACAGGTACTCAATATATAATTACTGTTGCAGTTGAATTTTTCACTCAAAAATCTCATCTACAAAAGTCTAAAGTCAGAACAGGGAAAAGTTTTGGCTTTTCCCACAGTTATCACACAAAGCACAGGAATACCCTGCTCCCTTGAGGTGTTACTTACCCTGATTCCAGTGCCATTGTCTTGAATCTGAATCAACTTTAGACCTCCCTCTTTAACAACCACTTGAATACTTGTGGCCTTTGCATCTAAACTGGCAAATCAAAGGAAGAAAATAATTCATCAGTCTCCAATTACTCCGATGTACATATTTTACAATGGCCCAAACAGTAATAAAAACTCTAAATACATACAAAAGTACTAGATTATTATGCTTTTCCTTTATCTTGCAGAGAAGGCCAGACCAATCATTTCCAATAAACTATTCAGCAATACTTCTCTTCCTCTATGGAAAAAAGATAAACCAAAGTAGGATCCTTTTGACATTTACCTCTTATTCTCAACTAACTTTACTGTTACTTCATTATTCAACTTCTGGATCTTGTTATCCTAATAAAGTGCCATTTTAAAATGCTAAATGTTTTTCTCTATCATTATCCTTTAAGAAATATGCATGAAGGAAAGAAAAAAATGGCAATATAAAAAGTTAAGACGGTAATAAATCTTTTGTGCTTTCAAAAAGTAGCCAGAAGCAAAATGATTGATGGTGTATAGTGTGCCTAAGGAGAGTCGCTTGGAGAGAAAACATTCTGTCAGGCTTTCATAAAGAGCACATTGGCCAAGAAATGGCCGTGACTCATCCACAAGGCTGACACTGACAAAGGATCTACAATCTGAGGTACAGGATCTCAGGATAAATCCTGAGGGGATTACACTGACCTTATCAGACCGAAAAGCTACAACTCTTGTTGCATAGGTCTTGCTTTATCTTGGTCTTAACCATCCAGCAGAAAAGTATAAAAATGAAGTATAAAAAGTAAAGCCATGTTATGCTGAGCTGTAGGGGACTCAGGTCAACAATTTCTGATACTGCCAGTGAAGCAGAAGACCCAATACTATTATGGATTACTGGACTCTTTTAGAATATTTTGCTGAGTTTACACACCTATAATATTCAAATGATGGAACTAAACAAAAATGGGGATATATAAATGGATGTCCATTTTATATTTGTGCATTCAAAACGGTTAGGATATACAGTTACATTCTCTTAATAAATAGAGGGATTTGTTGTAATAGTGTTTGTATATAGGATATCATGTCTGCATCTTGTACAGCAAATAACCACTAGGGAGACAGGATGCAATGTGTTAATTACTGAAATTGCCCTACCAATTTGATTTGAAACTGTCTCATTGCTATTTGTCAATAAAATAATGGGAAAAAATAAAAAATAATATTTAAATGATGGAACTAAACAAAAAAGGGGGATAGAGATGAATGACCATTTTGTGTCTGTGTATTCAAAAGGGTTAGTATAGGCGTATAGCTACATTCTCTTAATGAATAGAGATTTGTTCTAATAGTGTTTGTAAATGGGATATCATGTCTGCATCCTATACAACAAATAACCACTAAGAAGAGAGTATGCAGGGCTGGCGAGATGGCTCAGTGGTCTAAAGCACCTACTTGGAACAAGCTTGGCAAAGCACAGGAACCGCGGTTCGATCCCCCAGCACCACATGCCAGCC